GTGCAAGTTTATCCCTTACAGGCTGGCCTCCCAGGAAAGAAGTTGGCCTCTTATCTCCATGGAATCCAGCCACTGCCAAGAGCCTAAGGTGCTGATCATTACAAAGCTTGGACCCCAGCCCCTTAATTATGTCAGAGGAGGGCGCTGGTGCTTCTCCAGCTATGAATGCAGTGAGTGCATCTTGCTGCCTGCTAGCCACATCAAACAGCTGCAACAGCATGCTCTCGACCCTAGATTCATGGTCATTTCAGGGGAAAGAGCTGGGACAACCACCCCCACCACTGCCTGAACCCAGCACAAACAAGGAGCTGGCAGATTAGGGCCAGAAGAAAGATTCTGCCACATCATAGTGTTACTGTATCCTTTCCCCTGGGGACAACAAAGGAGAAGCTATGCTTCCCAATCACCTGACTCAAGAGTACCTCAGCGGGATAGTGGGAGTCCCTCCCCTGGAGCACCCTCCCCAGGATGAATGCGCCCTGGGGACCTGGCTGTCCCCATCCTCAGTGAATGCTGTTCCAGCAACCTGGGGGGTAGTTCTGTTTGGCCACTTGAACTTGTTGGCAAAATAGTTAAGAACTACAGCTACATGAGAAGTCTCTTGAGAGCCCCTTGGACAGCAAGGAGAGCAAAAAAGTCAGTTCTAAAGGAAATCAACCCTGAATATTCACTAGAAGGATTGATGCTGAAGTTAAAGTTCCAATACTTTGGCCAACTGATGCGAAGAGCTGACTCATTGGAAAAGACTCTGATGCTGGGAAAGATTGAGGGCAGGAGAAGGGGGTGACAGAGGATGAGATGGTTGGTTGGCATCACTGATTCAATGGACATGAATTTGAGCAAACTCTAGGAGATAGTGAAGAACAGGAAAGCCTGGTGTGCTGCAGTCCATGGGGTTGCAAAGAGTCAGACATGACTTAGTGACTGAACAATAGCTGTGAGTGCCAGTACTGATAAGTCTCAAGAACAGTGTTGAGTGGATAGAGTCAAAGATTGCAAGCTGAATGACTGCAGTTATACAAAGTAAAAAAGTCAGCAAAAAAAAAAAAAAAGGAAGAATAATAGATTGTGGCAAAATTATAAAAGCAAAGACACAGAGAGTGGCATAAATATAAAACCCCATATCAGTGTAGGGTAGCAGTTTTCTCTGCCTGGTAGAAAGAGGGATGTTTGTGGAAGGGTGCACAGTGGGCCCCCAATGCTGTCTTTCCTAAGCTGGGTGGTGGGTACGAGGGTGTTTATTATCCTTTGAACAGAAAAGATATGTTTTAGACCCTTTTGAATGAATGTTTCACAGTTGAAATAAGAAGAAAAAAAAAAACTTTAAAAACGTAGTTAAAGACCTGTTCCAAATTTTGAAACTCTTCAGATGAGATCTTAAGACTTCAAGCTGCTGATTGAGACTGGCTGTCTCCCAACCTGCCTTAACACAGTCTGCGGGGCATTTCCACACATCCTGCCCTCCGCTGCCCCCTACACTGTCTGTCTCCCGCCCCGTCCCCACTCCTTCCTCCCTCCTGACTAGGGCAAGGCAGTGGGGCTGCCAGAGCCTCTCCTTACACCAGCCGCCCCTACCCTGGGACAACCTAGGGACTTTTTACTTCTCTAAAATGTGCCTATGTCAACCTCTCCCCAGATTTACCTGCCTTTCAAAACAGCTGCACCCTATCTTCTGCATTGATAACTTCTATCCGAAGTCTACAGCAAAGGGTCATATCACCTGCGTGCTCCCACCTCCCTACCTCATCACGTTGCACCTTGTGTCACCAGAGCTTAATAAATGGAAGAGTTACAAATGAAGAAGGCCCTGTGGGGTCCCACTTTTATAACACAGGTGTGGATCCCAAGGCCACCAGGGCCAGCAGTGTCACTCCAGTGCAGACAAGAACAAGAGAAGAAGCCAGCTATGGAGGTCTTCCCAGGAGGCACATATCAGCTCAACGGCCCTGTTTGATTTGAGGCACTAATTGAGTTTTACAGACAGAAGGTATTAATAATCCATCACATGCTCTGTCATGTCCGACTCTTCGGAACTCCATGGACTGTAGCCCGCCAGGCTCCTCTGTCCATGGGATTCTCCAGGCGAGAATACTGGAGTGGGTTGCCATGCCCTCCTCCAGGGGATACTGCCGACCCAGAGATTGAATCTGCACCTCCTGTGTCTCCTACGTTGCAGGCAGATTCTTGCTGCTTGAGTCACTGGGGAAGCCCACACCTGCAGAAGCAGACATGAAGACCGAAGTCGTAGAAAGCTGTAATACTGGGATTCAAACCTGGCTTCTGACACGAAAGGTAAAAGTAAAAGTCGCTCAGTCGTGTCCGACTCTGCGACCCCATGGACTATACAGTCCATGGAATTCTCCAGACGAGAATACTGGAGTGGGTAGCCTTTCCCTTCTCCAGGGGATTTTCCCAAGCCAGGGATCACACCCATGTCTCCCGCATTACAGGCGGATTCTTTAGCAACTGAGCCACAAGGGTAAGGCCTGACACCAGAGCCCACACCTAACCACAGCCCTACAGTCCTGGAACACCACAGAGCTGCCTGCTCCTGTCTCAGCTGACGCTAGGGCAGCCAGCTGTCTCTGAAGCCAGTTTAAAATCCTAGCTCTACTGTCTGTGGAATGCAGTTGATAGCGCCTGACTGGTGCTGAGAGCTGGGTCCTGGTGCCTCTGTTACCGGGGAGACTAGTGTAACTACAGTGCCCCCAGGTGGCCGTCTTGGTCAGCGCCCCAAGGCTGAGCAACCTTCAACAGCAGAGGCACAGGGGTGCGTGCGGGGACTGGGTCCTCCTGCATGGACAGGTCCAGATGGATCATCAAAGGGCTAAAGTTCACATAGAATGCAATAAGCAGGAATTACAAAAATTCATGAGCCTAATGACAGGGGCCCAGAAAAGATGAGCCTCTTACAATCTATCAATTGAGACCCAATTCCAAAAGATGCACCTTCAAGGCAATGAGCTGAAATCTGGAGACATGGCAGGAGTGACAGCTCCCATTCCATTTTGGCTGAAATAACAAAGTCTGTCATCCATCCCCACCCTCACCCTCGCCCCCCCCCCCCACTTCTTCTTTTGTGTTCTGAGAAGAGACAGACTTGGGCTTTGTTTGAAGCCCCAGAGCTGGAACTGTCTGCCTCTTTGCAGCAATGAATTTGAATGCCAGCAGAGTATAGGGTGCTGCATTCAAGGAGATTAAAACCTAAGTTTTAATAGTTAAAAGACAAATGAATAAACACCTCCAAGGTAACATGAGGACACTCTCCTGGCAGGGCAGTAACCCCAGGGAGAGTAAACAGAAGAGCAGGAAGAAGTAAAAGCTGCAGCAGCAGTTAAAATATGTGTAGCATTCACCGTATTCATCAGTCCAAACACTGCTCACACACTAACCTACTTAAGCCTTGTTGTTCAGTGGCTAAATTGTGTCTGACTCTTTGAGACTCTATCTCTAGCCTGCCAGGCTCCTCTGTCCAGGGGGTTTCCCAGGCAAGAATACTGGAGAGGGTTGCCATTTCCTTCTCCAGGGGATCTCCCCAAACCGGGGGATTGAACCTGAGTCTCCTGCATCGGCAGGCGTTCTTTACCACTGAGAGAGCAACCAGGGAAGCCCACCTCAGCCTTCCAACGTCCCGAGTAAGTACACTAATCCCGTCTTAACGGACACTAAACAGACAAATTAATTTGTCTGTTGCCTTACTCTACTAAGTGCCAAAGCCCGGAGTCTGTCCCCAGGCTTGCAGAGCCCACCTTCTAGGCTGGACTGCCAAGGTACCTGAAGCCCCATGGGAGTGCAGGAAGCTGCCCAGTTGCTGGACAACTAAAGGCAAGGTTGTTTCAGGCATAAAATTAACAAAATGTCACCTCACATTCTTTCCCTCCACGTTCCACTGGGACCGCTCTTTGAAAGGGTATGATGACCTCCCAAGGCCACACCCAGTGGCACCACACTCCAGCCATGCTGGCTTCCCGAACCTGCAGCATGCATCTCGACCTTGATCTTCCAGCCTCGGAACCTTCCCTCAACTGCAACCCTCCTCCCCTTTAGCTCCCATCAGTCACCCTCCAGCTTATCATGTAGAAGAGGCCCTTCTTGACCACCCAAAGCAGCTACACAGATACCCTACCTTAATTCCCCAATCACAGGGGGTGTGAGTTCCCTGACATTCTGCTAATTTACTGTTTGCTGGCCTGGGTCCTCCCAGACCAGTTTGACTTCTAATTTTCAAATACCAGAGTCACAGAAACATTTCTGATTAAGGCCAGTTGAGACAGATTTCCTGCCACCTTGGATTGAAGGACTGAGGACGTCCTGAGAGATGGGCAGCTCTGTGGCAGCGAGATCCTCAGCACTCTCCCCTTCCACTTCCAGGCTCACGTGGGAGCCATCTCACAAGGCAGGTGACATGAAACCCTATAAATCACAAAGTCAAGGCCTGCAGGGATGTGGAAGAATCATTCTGGCAAATGGCTTGTAGATTATTTTTTAATTTCTGTTGTCCAATTAAAGAAACAACAGAACGATGGGTATCCTGGTGGTCTAAGTCCTATTTGGTGCTTCCTCCCCTTGATTCTCCCCGCTACAAACAGACACAGGGAGGTGGCTATGTTTGTTGTTTTCTTTTTTTAATGAAACTAGAGCGCTGCTTACAAAAACCTGCCTGAGCCCTCGGCCCAGCCCCTTCACAGTTCCCTTGGCTCAGCCTCTCCCCGACTCGCAGGAACTGGAACACGGTGGGTGTGGAACAGCCATCAACTCCATCAACTCCTCGAGGAGAGAGGCCCTGGGGCCGACCCTGAGCCCTCAGTGGGTGACGGACGAGGGTGGTCCATGCCACCGCGGCTCTCAGGCCACCACCGGGACCAGAGTGAAATGACGCGAATGTTCCACCCCATACACCCCCCACCCCCCGGAAGTCTCTTCTCCCCTGCCCCCACCCCCACCCCTAATGCTATCCCACTACTGAGACGAGGCCCCACTCCGGTCCAGAGAGCTGCCGCCTACAGGCTGTAGAATTTGAGGCTCCGGTCCATTCCTGTGGAAGCAATGAACTTGGCGTGGTGCCCGAAGGCCACCCCCGTGGTCAGGCCGCTGTGCTCTGTGGAGAGACAAGACAACAGTGAGGAGGCTTTTCTTCTTTGAGGTCTCAGCATCAAGCCCTGATGGCATGCTCCCCACCCATCCCTGTGACCTGTATGTAAACCCCCGAGGCTAGAGCTCTAGGGTGACCCACACGGCACTGAGCTGCAGAGCCTCCCTGGGCTGGCCCGTGGCAGGCACTATGTGGCTAGGCTCAGTGAACACAGGAACACCAGTCCCCCACCACATAAGCTTTCGGGGGCAGCTACAGATCGGCTCTGCCTGGCTCAGTTCCAAGTCTGAGAACTGACAGGAAGCTGACTTGTTGGTACTTAGTTCTAAGTCCCTGTGTGTAACTGGAACAGTCTTATCAGCTTGTCCTAGCTCACATGGAAAGCTGTGCTCCTGGCACAGGGCAGGGCTGGGTCAGGGGCAGAAGACATCAGGCAGCCCTCCTCGCTGGGCTCAGGTAGTTCATGGACATCAGGGCAAATTCCTAGGATCACAGCCGGCCCACCAGCTCCCCACTCTAAAGCTGCCCTGTGCTTCCAGCCTGCCACTCCAATGACTCTGCTCCAAATCAAGGCACCGGGGCCCAGGGAAGGTGAAAACCCATGGGCCATACCATGAGGCCTGGCCACCCCTGGGACACACACTGAGGAGAATCTAGGGTGGGAGAAGGTGCTTGTGCCCCGCCCACCACCTGCTAATGAGAACAAGAACTTCATTAACAAAGATGGCAGCAGCTGCCATTCCTTCAGTTCCTGAGGGTGCAAGAGGCACCCTGTCCCCATGCAGGCCACCTCCAAGGCACGGGCCGGCACAATACGCAAAGCAGTTTCAATACACCCATTTAAAGATGAAGGAACTACAACTCCAAAAGGGAAAGTCATGTACCAGAGGCCACACAACTATCAGGAGGTGCCAACTTTGTTGAGGTGGTATTTGCATATAATGTACGCACATTCTCCTGTATACTTTAAGTCATCTCTAAATAACTTATAATTACTAACACAACACAAATTCTATGCAAATAGTTTTAAATATAATGTAAATGCTACATGAATACTTGCCAGTGTGCAAGCAATTCGAGTTTTGCTTTTTGGAACTTTCTGGATTTTTTTCCTCCCACAAATATTTTTGATCCACAGTTGGTTGAGTCTGTGGAGAATCAACTGTACTATTTCTCCAGAGAAGTTAAGTAGCTTGCCCACTGTCACAAAACTTCAAGTGGCAGAGCTAGCATTTAAAGTCAGGCAGTCTGACTCCTGAGTTCCTTGTCTTAGCCACTAAACTCTACTGCCTCAGAGAGTGATTAAAAGCGGCCTTGGCAAATGCATGCCTGCCACTAGAAACCCCTAACCTAGTGATATTTCCCCCACTTTCTTCTGGGCCAGAGAACCCAGAGACCTCAGGATCTTAGGGCAAGCCTCTACCTGTAAAGTGAAGAATCTCCGTCCACTGTTTGCAGATGTAGATCTGGACATCGGTGCCGCCAAGGGCCAGGTAAGTACCGCTCTGGTCAAAGATCAGTGACTTCACCTGCCAGAATCAGGAAAGAAGTCACATGAGAGGAAGCAGAAACTCTGGGCAATTCGGCAAAAACAGAGGCAGTTTAGAGTAATTCATCGACAAATGAGGAGGAGGGGTGACAGAGAAAGGGGGGTACCTCAAAGTTGTTATCCAGTTGCAACGTCTTAAAGTTCTTAAGTTTGCGCAGATCCCAGAGTTTAACCGAGGAGTCATCAGCTGCCGTAGCCAGGTAGTAGCCGTTCTCTGAGAAGGCAATGCTGGTGATAGGGCCCGAGTGGCCGGGGAAGTTGGCCACGTTGGTGCGCTCCTGCAGTTGGGGAGCAGGGAGTAAAATGTCACCCACTGGTCACAAGGGAGAAAATGGAGCTTAGACAACTCCCACTCCTGAGATGTCCTCCACCCTCAGGAAGAACACCAGCAGGAAGAACAAGGGTGGACGCCCAGCCCACGGCCCCCAGACTACACCTACTGTGTGTCACACACACAGCCCCTGTCTCCCCACTCTCGGGACACCCCTAGGGCAAGGTGCCATAAGCACTTCATCACACCACACAGGGCCCAAGAGCTCCAACCCTGGGCTGCAGACAGGGACGGCCATGTCCTACCTTCAAGTCCCAGATCTTGATCTGAGAGTCCATGGTTCCTGTCCCGAAAATGAGTCCATCAGGGTGGAACTGCGCACAGGTGAGAGCTGTAGGGGGGAGTCAGACGGGCGGTCAGAGCCTGCCCTCAGGATACTAAGCACAGCAAAGGTAGGCTCCTGCTCACTGGGCCAGCACTGCGCCTGGCACTCAGCAAGCACCGGCAGCATGTACTTTTCAGAACAAACGAGCAACAACTAAATAAAACACTAAAGTAAACAATACACAGCGAATGAAGAGCCCAGAACTCAGGAGACAACTTACAGCAGCCAGAGGTCTCATCGGTCACCTTGGTGAGCACACGTCCTGTCTGGATGTCAGAGAAGGCCCAGTACTGAAAAAACAGTGACACCAGAGCCGGTGAGACCGCGGGTCCCCAGGTTCTGATGGCCCCTCAGGAAGGCAGGGATCCTGCTCAGGCAGACCTTGGCAAGGTCATCATCTCTCTGTAGAGAGGAATACTCTCTCCGCAGTCTGGGGACCCAGCTGGGTAAGATGTTTCCTCCTCCCAGGATGCTTGAGTTTGGGGACCAGAGGCCTCTTTGGGCCTGGCTGGGATGATACCTGGTCATCAGAGGAGCTCAGGAGATAGTCACCAGTGGCATGGAGGCTGAGGCCTGTCACAGCGCTCTCGTGGGCACGAACAACCTGTACGCAAGAGGCGTTCGGAACCGACCAAATCCTGATAGTAGCATCGGGGGAGGCAGAAAACACCAACTCCTAAAAGGAGAGCAAAGAGGCAGATTACCAGAGACAGAAGAGATGGACCACAATCATCTTGCAAAAGGGGACTGGGGATGGCCACAGCCCTGCTGGGCCTGGAACCTTCCATCCACCCAACAATGCTTGAGTGGGCCAAAGGGTAAACGCTATTAGCATGGGAAATTAAACAGCTTTTGGCCAAGTGGAGGAGGCCCTGCCATCTAGTGGTAAAATGGGTTAGTGAACCAGAGGGAAACCGTCCATCCGTTTCCCAGGACCAGAGAGATATACACCTAGGGCAATTCAGGAACTGAATGTTTAATTCCATTTTATTTAAATAGCCACATGTAGTTAATGGCTCCTGTCTAGGGCAGCACAAGTCTGAGCAGTAGCAGACCTGGAAGGGATTGTGAAGGCATGTCCTAAGCATCCCACACTTAAAAGATTTCAGGGGCAAGTTAAGTCTCAGAAAAACTGGTGACAGGGAGAGAACTCACATAGAGTCACCAACCTATTATTTTGGTTAGTTAGGACATTAAAACCTGTAAGGTAAAACCAACTACCATCTTCCACCAACATAACTGCATAAAAGAAATAACACACTAACATGCTCAGCATTAAGTTTCCACCCCCGCCTAGAGGACTGTGGGAACTGACCTATCCATCCCCCTCAGACTCATGGGGTAGAATTTTGTTGAATTTTGTGCTCTGCAGTTTGTATTTTAAAATACCGTAGAGATTCTTCCTTCCCTAACATAAAACTTTTCAATATGCTTTTCAAACTTTACATTTCCTTTCTTCCCTGTTTGAAGGCCACTGTTTCAGTTCTGACACAGAGTAGTGGGCAACCCCATGACCCCAAACCTGGCCCTGAACTGCCAGTGCTGAAGAGTTGGCCCTCTCAGGCCCGTGTCACTTCACCAAGGAGGCAACAGGGGCGAGGGCCTGGTTCTGGGACCTTACACCATGGAGACAGGGCTCAGGAATGAGGGCTGAGGGTGCTAGGGGAGCACTTACCTGGGAAGGGTGAAAGACCACGCTGGTGACCTTCTTGGTATGGCCTTTGAGGGTGGCCAAAATCTGCTCAGAACTCTTGTCAAAGACGACGACATTCTTATCTGCCCCACCTGGAGGGGACCAAAATGAGATCCCAAAATGAGTCAGGTCCCCAGGCCCCTCTGCCAAAGATTCTTTTATCCCCAGACCCACACGGAAGACAGGAGTGGGCACCCTCCTTGCTGTCCTCCTCCCACCCTTCCCCCACCCTCCTCTCGGCTTGGTGGGCTGGGCCCGCTCTTACCAGTGAGGATCTTGTTGGTGTCGGAGGGGCAGAGGTCCAGGGCCAGGATCCCGGGAATGCTAGCACTGTGCAACCCCTGTGCAGAAGAAGCCACATCAAACCCCGTCATGGCTGAATCAAGGGAGGCCACAAAGCCACTCAACGGCCCCGGCCCCAACCCCAGCCCTGGGGAACAAGAGTGACTTCTGTTCCTTGTCCACTGTGCTTGGCTTTCTGCCCAGATGCAGCAACTCCCTCAGTTCCGATAGCAGCCGGGCAGGAGGAGAAACCCTGACAACTCAGTGGCCAAGGTGAGAAACAGAGGGGGCGAGAGGCCCTGGACAGTGCTCCATGCTGGCCTGCCCCCCGCCCCCCCCGGAAGTAGCCCGGAGGACCCTGTCTCCCAAGTCTGCGGGAACGAGCCACTCACCACATGTGAGGCCACCTGCCGGTATTTGCTGAGCTCTTCTGGCTTCACCAGCTCCTCAGGCACAGTCTTCCCTCTCTGAGAAAAAGAAAAAGCCCCCAAGAAGTTAGTGGGTGCAGGAATTAACTGGCCATCCCCTCTCCTCCTAAGGGAACCACCAGCTCCTCCAGGTCAGCTCTGGGCCCTCGCCCTGGGAGGACTCACCTTCTTCCGCTCCGTGGTGAGCACGGTGGCCTTGTCTTGAAGCTGGGGGAGAGAGGGGAATAAGCTCAATGTGAGACAAATTTATTTGCCAGAAAAAAGCACAGTGAATGGTGGTCACATCTACGCTTTCACAAGCCATCACCAAGAAATCATCAACCGCCACGCTCTGTGCTAAAGGCTTCCATGCATTATCTCTTTTCACATTCACTCCAACCTTATAAGGTGGGTGTTGATGACTTTATTTCTCAGAGGAGGAAACTGAGCCTCAGAGCAGTGCAGTCACTTGCCCAGGGCCACAGAGCAATAGCTGGCAGGGCTCCCAGACCATGCCTGTGCCACTAAGGTGGGAGCTGAGATGCTAACAAGCTGCATGGCTTGGAAAAGACACAAACTATCAACTGGTACTAAGAAGGATCCCCTGAGTCACACAGCAGAGGACACAGAATCAGGGGTCAGCTATGCGTCTTGTGAGCTGTGCTTTTGAGTCTGAATCTACAGATTCTTCATCCATAAAATCAAAGTGATAATTCTTGTACTGTCTCCTTCAAAAAAGAAAAAACATGTAACAAAATGCTATAATATCTGTAAAGAACCCTAATAAGAGCAACAAACTGTACTTAATAATTAAAATCTTTATAATTCCCACAGGTCCATAGAGTAGGTACTATCACCCTCACTTTAGTAGCAAGGAAAATTAGACATGGGATTAGTTAAGTCAGCCCAAGGTCATAAAGCTGATAACTGGGGACATCAAAACACAAAGCCAGGCAGCATGGTTGAGTGTGTGCTCTGTACGACTCCACTCCATCTCCAAATGGATGGGGTTTTTTACTAATATTGGACTCCAGGCAAATAGTGAAAGAGAGAGTCCATCAGCTTTCCCACCAAGCGAGAGCATGACGTACCTTCTGAATAATCTCAGGAGTCATTCCCACCAGTTCGCCCAAATCCATTGGCTCGCCTGCACCCTGAAGAGAAAAAGGAGGAAGGTGAGAGGAGTGTGCAATGCCAGAGGAGCACGGAATGCCCTCCTCCTCCCTTGCAAAGAAGGCCGCATGGGCCACCACGCACACTCCACTGCTGGCGGGGCTGAGAGGACACTCACCACAACACTTGGCTGGGAGCTTGGCACAGCCTGGGGCACAATGAGACCGGCCTGAGGTTTCAGGGTCGCCAGAGCTGAGAGAGAAGACAACGTTAGGGATGGGCTATTACAAAACAGGCCTGCCCCACAGTGGGGGATGGTAGGCCGGAGGCTGTACCTTCTCGGGCAGCAGTGACTTCCTTGGTGAGACGGGCAATGACACGGCAGGCGGCATCGTGCTGGTACAGGGCGTGGGAGAGCTCCTGGCGGGTGGTCTGCAGCTGCTGGCGCAGGGTGAAGCTGTGGAGCATGACTGCATCCTAGGAGAGGGAGACGCCACAGTGAGAGGGCGGAGAGGCGTGGGGAGCACCCAGCAGAGGAGTCAGCCCTTGATAAGAGGACGCTGCCTCCAACCCCGTGGCCTAGTCCGGTATCAGTGACCCAAGCAAGATCTGAGTGACCCTGAACTCGCGAGCAGACGCTCCCAAGCTCCTCACTGTGCCAAACCCTGGGCACACAGACAGGAACGGGAGCCAGCTCTTCCCACCCGTCTTCTCTAATTTACCGGCACATCTCCGGCGTCATGCCGTCACCTGACCAGAAAGGAATAAAAACACTACAGCTGCTGTTTATTGATTGCTCTCATTGTGTCAGGCACTGAGCCAGACAGTCCTCAAGATGCAGTCCTTGACTCATTCATAGAGCACCTACTGTGTACCTGGTTCTCACTGCTGGGGCTCTAACAATGAGTAATACAAGTCCCAGACATCATGAAGCTTATACTCTAATCTTACTCTGATTCTCTCAAAATGCTGAGAGACAGGTACGAATCCATGCAATATGGTCAGGAAAACCAGGACGTGGACACTTGCCAAGGGACATGGCAAGTGGGCAACAGAGCAGAGGGTGGAGCCCAAATCTTCGTGACATTAACAACCAGGTTCCTCCTCTGCTCTCACCCTCCCCTCAAAACAGAAAATGAGGTTCCATGCCTCCCATCCCCACCCATGTCCTAGTCCAGTGATCTCTTTTCAAGTGGGAAAGATATCAATTCTCTTCCAGGGACTCACCCACTCGTCCTGCAAGGCTTTCAGAATGGCTGGGATGCTCGTGGCTGAGGGAGGCTTGGGCCGGATTGGGTGAGCAACTGCCAAGAGAGACAAAGTGGGTGTGAAAACCCATGACCTAGGGCATGCTGGCCCTCCCACACTCTTTCCCCTTCAGCACTAACAGACCACCGTCTCCGCCCTCGACTCCCATGTGCTGTGCGCCCACCACCCTTCCCACCTTCCCAGGCTCTAGGCTAGGACAGCCCTGGACTGAGGCTGGCCAGCAGGCACCTTTGATATCAATGAGCTGCTCCTCAGACAGAGGCTGGTTGTTGATGGGATCTGTGCCATTCTCTGCAATATACTTCTCAATGAGCCGCCGCTCATACACATGATTAGAGACGGGGGACACACAGGGGTGTTCTGGCACTTCATTGGAGACTGTGGAGAAAAGGCAGGTGGTGAGCCTGGGGTGGTGACAGGGACCCTGGGCCAAGGCTATGCTTCACCTTTGGCTGGCCTCCACAAGACCTTGCCTCCCTACACTCAGCTAACAGGAATCAAGACATGACACCAAGCCAGTTCTATATTGTACCCACAATGCTTTCCAGCCACTTAACTAGCTTCTCCATCAGTCTCTGACAGTCAGGTAGTCAACAAATAATTGCTGGAAGACTACTAAATGCTAAGCGCCTAGGGAGCTGTCAATAATCCCTGCCCATCTCATTTTTGAACAAAAACACTTAGGCACCAGCAGGACAGGGAGATACACACGAAGCCATTCAAGTCTCAGGCTAGGGCCTCGATGGAGTCTCAGACAAATTACAAAGCGATGTGACAAGTGGTACGATAAAGTATTTATATGGTGTTTACTAGGTGCCAAGCTCCACTGTAAACACTTTCTATTGATGAAATCATCCTCACCACGCCCCAATGGAAGTGTCCATTTATACCCCTGAGGATCGGGATTGTAGTTGCTCTCTGACTTGGTGCTAGGCAAATGCTCAGTAAACATCTAACAGACCAGCAAATGAGGTGGAGTTGAGGGATACTGAAAAGACCTTCCTCAGGACTGAAACAATGAATGTGAAAATACTCTGCACACTGTCATTTCTTTAACACTTAAGGATTCTTTTTCTAGTCACATTTCCCTTCACTCTTTCTCTCCTTTGTTTTGGGTTTATGGGGAGGTTCTGCGAAGAGTCAAGGGCTTGAGAGTTAGGAAGCCGACAGAGAAAAGGATGGGAAACTAATAACCTGATGAACAACCAGAATGCAAAACACCCACTCGCCTCAATAACACATCCAAAGGAAAGACCGGACAAGGCATTTGAAAAAAGCATGGATTCAGGGTCAGAGAACCTGGCTCCGTCACACAGCTCTGCCACTAACTAGCTGTACTGTTTTACAAAAACCACATTTCTCCTTGAACCTTACATCCTTATCTGTAAAACCGGATCTTTATTTCTGCTTTGGAGAATTCCTGTGGGGGCATAACGACTTTGCAGTCTTGCAAGCATGCTGTAAACCAACAGAGGCTTTTCCAAATGTGCAACTTTTTTCATCAGCCCTACAGGGTGAGGCTGGTCTGGCTCGCAGGCCTGTCACCACCTCCAACTCACTGTGCGACCTTCGCAAAATGCAGAAGCTCTGCCTACCCAAGCAGGGCCTCATACAACACATCCAGTGCCAAGGCCTTTATTTTTGCAGTTGGGGAAACTGAGGACCGCATCCCGAAGCCAGATCACAAAGTCAACTGGAAGCGGATCCTGCGCAAGCCCTCTGGCTTCCTGATTCCTACAGGAGAGCTCTTTCCCCTGCACCACCAGCTCCCCGCTTTCCAAGCCTCAGATCCACTGCGCAAACGAGGTGGGTTGCTTCCGTGCAGCTTGCGACAATGCGCTGGAGACGTTATGTAAACTATGAAGCGCTGCGCAAATTGACCTCACGCTGGAGGAGGAAGACCCCCCCCCCCGCCCCGGGCTGACAGGCCGCCGCCCTGCCTCCCCAGAGCCCCGTTTTTCAGGTCCAGCCCCGACCCCGGCGCCGCAGAGGCGCGCAGATCCTCACGCTCGGCTCTCCGGCCTCCAGCGCCCCACGAGCGACCGCAGCCGATACTTACTAGAGCAGATCAGAGACATGGCGCCCTCGCTGCACTCCGAGGCTCCTCACACTGGGCTCCGGGATCAGCTTCTGAGCCCCTGCGGGACACTTCCAGTTCCCTCGCTCCTTCCAGACGCTCCGCTGCGGGCGGGGAGCTGCCCCGCGGAGCGATGCTCTCGAAGGGCTTCACGTGGGAGTGTGGCCAGTCGCGCGCTTCAGCCTCCAGAATTTAACGGAAACTGTCCTTTCCCATAATGCAATCAGGCAGGAAAGGGCGCGCCAGGAAATACTCGGCTATTTCCGGGCCCTCTCGGCTAGTTTCGTAAAGCTCCAATGGATGGGAGAGGAGATTGGAAACTACATTTCCCTTAATGCACTGGGACCTTAAAGCCAATCAATTTAGCTACACTCTTTTGAGCCAGGGGCGGTGCAACGACCGTCTTGCAAATATTGGAGTATGTGACAATTTTTTTTTTTTAATGCTATTAGTCTTTTATTTCGTGAGCATGGTATACTTTTATTTACTTACGTCTTCTGTAATATTTTTTCAGTATAGTTTTATATTATTGTCCATAATGGTTCTGTGTATTTTTATAAGTCTATTTTTGAGTACTCCATAATTTTTTATTCTATTTTCAAATTTTTAATTTATTTTTAATTGGAGGATAATTGATTTACAATGTTATGTTGGTTTCTGTAACAATTTCTTAAGGAACTTTTTAAAATGCATTTTTCTGGGGTCTAATTTAGAGAGTCTGCATTTTCAGTTCATGCCCCATGTGTTTTCTGGCAAGTGTTTCTCAGAGGACTAGCTTTGGAAGACCCAGTGAAGAAGACGAAGATACAGATGGGTAGAGAAGCTAACACTGGCTAAGAAACTCTTCTGGTCTTGCCCCTACTACCCCTTTGCTGTGTGATTTTGGGCAAGTCATCTGCTTCTTGGATACACCGACCTTTCAAGTCCTCAAACTTATCCACTCTGACTGGTTCCAGATCCTTCACCTGGAACACTTTCCTCAACCCCTGCCCTTCTTCTCCATCCCCCATCCCCTCCAAAGTAAACCCAGTCTCACCCTAAATAGCACTTCCTCTGGAGTCTCTTCTTGACCCCTGACTGAATTTTAGTCCCCACGGCACCCTGTAATTTTCCTCTGAGTCACTCTGGATAACTATAATAATTTATTTCAAAGAATGTATTATTTATTTTTGGTTGTGCTGGGTCTTCATTGATGTGAGCGGGCTTACTCTAGTTGCAGTAAGCAGTGGTCACTCTTTGTTATGGTGTGTGGGCTCTCATTACAGTGGCTTCTCTAGTTATAGGGCACAGACTTAGTTGCCCCTTGGCAGGTGGGATCTTCAGGAACCCTGGATTGAACCCATGTCCCCTGCATTGGCAGATGGATTCTTAACCACTGGACCACCAGGGAAGTCCCACTATAATCATTTAATTATGTACAAGTATCAGTTTGCTGTCTGGGTTCTCTGCTAGGTTGTGAAGTCTATAATGGCAGGAACCATGATTGTTCTGGTCACTGCTCTTTCTCAGGGTCTAGCACAGTGCCTGATACATAGCAGGAATGTCATAACTATTGTTGGTTGAATGACAGGCTGCCTGACAAGCCAGGCATCTTAAGTATTTGTATGTGGTAGGAAATAAAATCGATCTGTTTAGAGGGGAACTTGAACCAGAGGTGGTTAGACTTGATTGGATCAACAGATGAATAGCAGATAAGCTATAGCATCATAACCACATTTCTAGCAGATTCCTCTGGAAGACATTTACTGGATGGGTTGCAAAGGGAAGCAGCAAGACCCAATCATTCACTTTTTGGACAAATCTTTATGCTAAGTGACTTTAGTTATGACCGACTCTGTGTGACCTTATGGACTGACTATAGCCTGGCTCCTCTGTCCATCAGGACTCTCCAGGCAAGAATACTGGAGTGGGTTGCCATGCGCTCCTCCAGGGGGGTCTTCCCAACCCAGGTATCGAACTGCCTCTTTTACCTCTCCTGTATTGTCAGGCAGGTTCTTTACCACTAGCACCACCCGGGAAGTCCAATCTTTATTGAGTACCCACTATGTGCCAGTCAGACATTATACTTGACATTGGGGATAGCACTTTGAGCAAAACCAGAGGTGTCCCTATGAAAGTGAAAGTGAAAGTCGCGCAGTCATGTCCGACTCTATGTGACCCAATGGACTGTACCATCCATGGCATTCACCAGGCCAGAATACTGGAATGGGTAGCCTTCTTCAGGGGATCTTCCCAACCCAGGGATCGAATTCAGGTCTCCCTCATTGCAGGCGGATTCTTTATCAACTGAGCCACCAGGGAAGCCCATGTCCCTATGGTAGGGAGCTTACAGCTGTGACAGAAGAATGGAGGAAACAGGGAGTTGTTTCCAGGCTTTTGAGTTTCAAAAGCCAGTCCCTCATAACATAGAAAGGATTCAGGGCAACTGATTTTGGAGTAACTATTAGAGGTGAGAATTTGATCTCAGTTTCTTCCTCACTCCCTCCAGTCTCAATCTCTGCACAAAGGAGATAAAGATTACCTAAGGTTGGGAAGCAAAGAGGTGGGGGGAATGGCTATAACTGTCAGTGGGTTCTCAAGACTGGAACTCTATGCCCTGCTCCCCTGGGCCAAGACTGCTGCTGCTGCTTGAGAAGCAAGGGTACACATAGGTCAATAGCCCAGAAGCTCCATCTCCCAGGTAGATTAAGTTACAACCTTGTGGACAACTGACAGAGGATTAAGCAGGACAGTGCACCTCAAACAACTAAGGATTAGGTGGATTCCCTCCCTTCACCCTGTTAATTTTCCAGAAGGTTTATACAGACTGTAAAACAACAGTGGGAAGAGCCTTGAACTGTCTAAGAGTGTCCCTCCACTCAGATGGAAAAGAGAGTTGAAAAGACGCTAACTTGGGACTTTCCTGGTGGTCCAGTGGCTAGGACTCTGTGCTCCTGATGCAGGGGGTCCAGATTTGACCCCTGGTTGGGAAACTAGATCCCACATGTTGCAATTAAAGATCCTGCATGCCACAATGAAGACAGAAGATCCCACATGCTACAATTAAGACCCAATGCAACCAAATAAATTAAATAAATATTTTTTTAAAGAAAGAAGAAGAAAGGAGGGCTTCTCTGGTGTTTCATTGGTAAAGAATCTGCCTGCCAATGCAGGAGATATGGATTTGATCTCTGGTCTGGGAAGATCCCACATGCCATGGAGCAACTAAGCCAATGTGCCACAATTATTGAACCTGTGCTTTAGAACCTGGGAACCACAACTACATGCCCACATGCCCAACTGAGCCCGAGTGCCCTAGAGTCTGTGCCCCTCAACAAGAGAAGACAC